GGATTTTTGAGTAAAACTCTTTGCTACTAATCTTGCCTTATATTTATCTATGGATCCATCAGAGTGATATTTTTTTTTCCTTAAAGATCCACTTACAACCAATAGGTTCTGTTCCTTTAGGCAAATCTACCAAAGTCCAAGTATTATTTTTCTTAATTGAATCAATTTCAGTCTTAATGGCCTTATCCCAATGTATTGCATCAGGAGCCCTAGTAGCCTCTAAAAAACTCATTGGATCATTTTTAACTAGATAAGTGTAGAAATCATCTCCAAAGGAGGTTTCCTTCCTCTGTCTTTTACTTCTCCTCAAATCCTCATATATTTTATCATTATTAATATCTATAGATTGTTTAGGTGTCTCACTAACCTTTAGAGAAAAAATATGTTCAAAGAACTCAACATTTTTTTTTTCTCCACTATAGTATTATGCTCAATTTGAGGACAAAAAACCTATAGGCAGCACTATGTTTTGCATAGCCTAAGAACATACAATCAGAAGTTTTAGAACTTATTTTCCTTTTCTTATGATTGGGTAATATTACCTTAGTTAGGCACCCCCACACTCTTAAATATTTAAGATTAAATTTATAACATCTCCATAACTCGTAGAGAGTTTTACTAGTTTTAAAAAAAAACACTGTAAGTGTATCTTCTCTTAGAGGTTATTTGGTGCACTAGAGTTCTTGATTAAGTATACTTTGGTTTATCTAAAGTAATCATCTATAAATGTCACATATCATATGAATCAATAGTATAAACAGAAGAATAACATTCATTAACAACCAAGGGCTTTGGTCACACTATCTCTTTCCTACAAATACATTATTTTTTGTCATAACAATCTTATCAGATTCGAATGACATTTTAACCCCAACTTTTCCAATAGTGCTACAGAGATTAGATTAGCTCTGATTAATGGCACATGTAGCATATCATTCAAGACCAGAGTCTTTCCAAATGTGAGTTTTAGAAGAACTTTTCATTTTCCTAAGACAGGAGTTGTCCTGGAATCACCGAGATAAATATGTTCTTCTCCATCCCCACACTAGTGTAGGAGGTAAAAGCACTTCTGTTTGCACAGATGTGTCTGGTAGCACCAGAGTCTACCACTCATTTGCTCACATTTGTCACAAGGTTTATTTGAGAAACGACCGCAATAATTGTATCTTCTCCCTCAGGTTTTCCTTAGAAGGATTGTCGTTTCTCATTCTACATTTGCACTGAGGTGCATGATGACATAGCTTTCCACAAAAAGTAATTTTCTTTCTTGAACGTAAAGTGGGTTAGATCCACTGGTTTCATACAGTCTCAACCCTTTCTTATAAGTATGTACAAAATATTATGGGGACAAAATAATATTCTACTTATACGTATACGTATGTACAAACTAATATGTAGATCTAAGTCATACATTGTATACATGTAATTGCTAATTATTCACAAAGAAAATCTCTCATAACATATAATAATTTTGCATAATTTCTCTCATAACATAAAATAATTATGCATAATGCATTTTTCATTTTCTCTGTTATATTGGTGTAATAAATCCGTAAAAGGAACCTGTGTTTGACACGTGTGCTCTATAGACAAGCTGCATGATGTATGCTCATAACATTTGATCTAAAAGTTTACCTTTCTTTCATCATAATTATAACATGCAGTAATCAATTTCATATATGATTCACCAATCACGTAATTTGCTTTTTCAATTAAAATCAATTACAGGGTCATTCACATTTCAATAAGAATTACAGTGTCATTCACATTTCAATAAGAATTACAGTGTCATTCACATAGGGACTATGAAATTAATTTCAATTTAAAATTGATTGCAGCTTAAAACATAGATTATCATTTATTCCTTTATTCAATTTTGGGAAAAGCATAATTTAAAAATTATCATAAGAGAAAAATCATAAATCTAATAAGTATAGCTCTGATACCACATGTATTTTAATTTGTAGTTTTTATACGTTACTATTTCTATAGAACTACTCTTCGCGTTTAAATTCTTTATTCTCACGTAATAGCATACATGAATCATAATCATATAATAACATACATGAATTGATTCTCACATAATAACACACATAAATCATAATCAGAAGACTAACCTTGATCCATGAGCACTTCATAATTCCCTTTCTTTCACTATCCAATATTCTAAAATTGTTGAAGGAAGTTGTTGATGTTCATATTGTCAGTCATAAGTCCTTAAGATTGTTGTAAAAGCTAACAGAGACACGAACAAACTTTATTCCTGAGGCGTGTATAATCATTGTCCTTAAGGACTTATCCGCGGTGTATTACGCAAGTCCCCCAGGATACAACAGGAACTTCTCGGAATATCCGAGGATCTCAGAAACTAGCAAGAAACTCTCAAAAGAGTAAATTAACCCAGGAACACAGAAAAAAGATCAGAGAAGAGAAGATGAGAGAGGTATGTTCTGAAGAGTGTGAAGTGGTCTCTATTTATAAGAGAAAGTCTGTAACAGTTATGGAAGACTTGGTAGTGGGTCTGTAACGTTTCTTGTAACGTTCTCTGTAACGTTCTCTATAACGTTCTCTGAAACGGTCTTCTGCAACGTGTGCTCTGAAACAGTCTTCTATAACGTGTGCTCTGTTTTGCAATACCCCTTAATTACAACACTAAGAGCTTGATCATGTAACCAGAAAGTGTTTTTTTATTTGATTTATGACACGCATTAAACAAAATCTGAATAACGAATTAATTAAATAGAGTTATATCCATATTTTCATCATTAACACATTCAAATTCTAATCTAAAATTAAATTTTGTTGGTGTAGTAACTAAAATGTAATCAATCATGTAAAATCTCTTCAATGTAGTAACTACATATTTTTTATAGTGCAGAACAAATCAATTTTTTTAGTCAATATCTCAAATATTACCATCATCTTAGCTTTGAATCTCTTTATTTTTTCATCATTGCCTCTAGTTACACATATCAATTGAATCCTTAGAAAAATCATTTTACAAAAGAAATGAATCAATCTTCTTATTCTAAGTTTTAGGTGTCTCTTTAAGATCATATACAACTTTATACAGTGTACACACCATCTTGTCTTTCCCACAATATCTAATTCTGGAAGTTGAATTACACATATCAACTCATTCAAGACTTCATTAAAAAAGATAGACTTTACATCCATATACCAAAAAGACTAGTCATTATTACTACTAGTTAATATTATTATTGATCTCAAAATTTCATGCCTTGTCATTGGAAAAAAAAAATTAGTATAATTCACTCTTAACTTTAAATCCTCTCCTCACCAAACTAGCTTTGTATCATGACTTGTATTCACTTTAGTTTGAAAACTCATTTAATAGCTATAGCTTTATTTTAAGGGACAAATTTGTCAATTCTAAGTGTGATGATTGTTAGCTGCCTCTAATTCTTCAAGTATTACCTTCTTCCATTCATCATTCTCTACTGTCTTTTTATAATTAATTAGTTCTACATCATCCACTAAAATATATTAGATCTCTTTCTATTTAAATTTGACTCATACAATTTCAACTCCTTTTGCATTTTTCCCCTTCTCTCCTATTCAGATTTTAAGTAATCATCACATAATTGAGTTGAAACCCTTGAAATTGTTTTGTTGTTAGGTCCATCTTGCTAATTTCATGGGTCAATTTCATTTATAATTACATCTCTGTTCATCTAAATTTTCTGCTTCACAAGTTTATACAAATTATATGCACAAATTAAAGAATAACCAACTAGAACCATAAACTCACCCTTATTTTATAACTTCTTTCTCTTAGCACTAAGAACATGTTTACAAAACGGAGAACCAACATTTCTTAAAAGAGTCATCCATGGTTTTCTTATAACATTTCTTTAAAAACCTTCTCTTTAATTCTTTTAACTGGACATTTGTTTAAGAGATAAGTTATAGTGACTAATTCACCCCAGCAAGCTGAATTATCATATATTTATATAAATCATCGTATTTTTAAGTGTAAAGTGTTATGATCTTATGTTGAATACTAAGTTTCTCATAATTTCTTAAACTCTACGAAACTATACTCTCCACCATCAATTTTCAAAATCTTTGAGCAATCTACTAATTTATCTTTCAAAATTTAAATACCTCAAATATTTCAACTATACGTCGCCGGTAATTATCTATGAGTTCACAGTGTATAGGACCTAGGAAAATGATAAACTAATTAACAATGTTAATATTTACACTAATAATATGATAAAAATAATAAATTAAAATGGAATTGAGTGAAGGTGCGTTTTCTCATAAAACTTAAAAATACAGTGACACTGACGAGGATAATATTATAAATTTCAAGGGGATTAATTATAAGGATGGATGTTACAAGACATGTGAAAATTAAAAGTATAGAATAGGCGTTACATGTTGGACCTTGTAATTATTCTTATTACATCTATATTTAGGTTATTAAAGCTTGTGCCTCATCTATTTACATTTTCTTATTTGAAAAAATAAATAAATTGTCGAGTTAAAATTTATTGTCTTACAATCTTCTTTGTTCAAAAAATAACAAGAACTGGTTTAAACAATAAATATTTTTTAAATAAAAATATTAATTAAACCAAAAGAAAGGTATTCTAAATCAAAAGAATAAAAATATAAAAACATTTAAATGACAAGGTTTTGAATAAGTGTATCTAATGAGATTATTTCTCTAAAAATAATTAATTTACCATATATATTTGAAAAAACCTATGAAAACCAAAAATATTTTATTCCTATGTGTAAACAGTTTTCAAAAATCATGCGTGATTCCGAGTACAGGAAATTTTCCCCTGCTACATAGCAATTTGTCTCTTGATTTTCTTTGTCAAATGGTGATAATATTCGTAAATTGTTTTAGCAATTCAGAGGTCATACAGTAAAACCCACGCCCAACCTTGTATCGAATCAGCGGAACAAGGAAAGGAGGGAAAGAGAAATTCTCGCTCTGTGCTAAAAGTTTTGATTTCTAGAAGATGTCGTTACTATCCGATCTGATGAACCTTAACCTCTCCCACATCACCGACAAGGTGATCGCGGAATACATATGGTTAGTGTCTTATTTCTTTTTTCACCACACACTCACATCCCCTGTTTCCCATGCATGTGTAGACAAGCATTGCAGTATGGCATTCTACTACATGTTCTTATGTGGATGGATGTACCAGTGCTGCAATAATTTTCTTGATGTACTTGAATAATACTGTGTTTGTTTATACTTATTATGACAGGGTTGGGGGATCTGGTTTGGACATGAGAAGTAAAGCACGGGTAATTTATTTCTTTTTCTAACCAAAAAAGATGAAACAACAATTTGTTTTTGTCCATTGATACTTTTGGAAGGTTTAAACTTAATAAAAAATCTCTGTAGTTTTTTGAAGTTTTTCAATTGAGTTTCCTGATCCAGCTTAGAAAAGTTCTTAAGCATTTATTTCAACCCTTCTATTTGGCTTGTAACTAATGCAAATATAAAATGATCTCGGATATAGACTCTTTCAGGTCCGGTTAATGACCCTTCCAAGCTTCCCAAATGGAACTATGATGGTTCCAGCACTGGTCAAGCTCCTGGAGCAGATAGTGAAGTGATCTTACAGTAAGCCTCTTACTATTTTATTTTATTTTAGTAATCCTCCTTTTCTCATCTCATCTTTTCATATCTTTGTACACACTTTTAAATCAATTTTCATTTGTGGTAAGTTTGGACCATTACATATTTAGGATTGGTTTTTTTCCGAACACTTCTTATTAATGTTGTGCATCTTAATCAAATACAACAGTCCAAGAGCAATTTTCAATGATCCGTTCAGGAGGGGTAAAAATATTCTGGTATGTTTCTTCTTGTCTGCTATTCTATGTGATAAAAAATGTGTTTCTTCAGTCAAATTTGTTTCCATGATGTAAACATCGCATGTCTTATAATTGCAATTGGTTGCAGGTTATGTGTGATACTTACACTGCTGCTGGGGAACCCATTCCTACCAACAAGAGACATAACGCAGCAAAGATATTTAGCCATCCTGATGTTCTTGCTGAAGAACCCTGGTATATATTGTTGCTTCCTTGCCGTTTATAATGACCTGTTAGTATCTTTTTCTTCCTCTTCGTACACAAAAAGTTACTGTGATCTCCTAATAGGTATGGCATTGAGCAAGAATACACCTTGTTGCAGAAAGATGTCCGTTGGCCACTTGGATGGCCTATTGGTGGCTTTCCTGGGCCCCAGGTGAAATTCTTTTTCTTCAATTTTTAAAATGGAAGATTAGGTGTCTAATGTAAGTCAACCCCATACTTTTTTTTTGTATGGCATTCATTAAATAATTCAGGCGACTTACATAATCTTTTTATAAAAGGTTTCTAAACTTTTTTAACCAAGTTAAACTTACTAGTCCTTTTGTGGCTGACTCGTGAGTCTCGTGTCTTGTTATTCTAATTCACTTTGTTATGTTTGTTATTGGCTTATTGTTACATGTATTATATTTTTTTTCCCTTGCTCAACAGGGACCATACTATTGTGGTATTGGTGCTGACAAGGCTTTCGGACGCGATATTGTGAACTCTCATTTCAAAGCCTGCCTTTATGCAGGCATTAACATTACTGGAATTAATGGAGAAGTGATGCCTGGTCAGGCAAGTTAAAATATAATTTTCGTATTCCTCATTCTTTAACTCTATTGTTTCAGCCAACGTCAAATTATAGACACTTGGTCCTAAATCTGGATGCTGCCTGATCTATTATTGTATTCTGCCATTACACAGTGTAGGCTAGTTGTTCTATAGAAATACATCATTAATTTAGTATAACAGATCAAGGGTTAATTGACAATGTCATTAATTCAATAAGGCCTGTTAAGAGTCTATTGGTGGTATTATCATTGAAACATTTATTTGGCGGTTATCTAGTCTTAGTTGTGCTCTATTAGTCCTTAACTTGTGGGCTGATTAATGTTTGGGAGCATGCCAAACTCTGTACTAAGTCAGTTCCAAAACTCTCCAGTGTTGCTATGCCCCCAACGTAAGTAGGTCCATGTACAGGAGGATGTCACTAGTTTATATTTCATATAATTATTTTTTTACTTCTAACTTCATTGATTTGAATTCATTCTTCATGATGTGTAGTGGGAATTCCAAATTGGTCCATCCGTTGGCATCTCTGCGTGTGACGACTTGTGGGTTGCCCGCTACATTTTGGAGGTTGTTAGCACTTGAATATTCTGTGTCACCCTCACCATCAAATTCTTTATTTTTGTAAATATTACAGCTAATATCTTTCTTTGTATTAACAGAGGATCACCGAGATTGCTGGGGTGGTGCTTTCGTTTGATCCTCAACCGATTAAGGTGGATATCCCATACTCACGAAAAAATTGAGATTGTATGTGATTCTCCATATTTGGTGTAATGATATTGACTCATGTCATTTTGGTTGAGTTCTCATAAACTAGGGTGATTGGAATTGTGCTGGTGCTCACACGAATTTCAGGTAATTGTGGTCACTTAATGAATGAGTTTGCTAGTAATTATGAGTGTCACTTTGCTTTTAAGCTTGAAAAGTGAATGATATATGTGTATGATGTTGCAGTACCAAGTCCATGAGAAATGATGGTGGCTTTGAAGTCATCAAAGAAGCAATCTCTAAGTTGGAAAAGAGGCACAAGGAGCACATTGCTGCTTACGGAGAAGGCAATGAACGTCGTTTGACAGGAAAACATGAGACAGCTGACATTAACACCTTTCTATGGGTAAGCAATGAAATTAATAATATTAAGGAAATAGTTATTGTAATCTTTTGGCTTGTTTTAATAAGCCAATTAATAAGCTTTGTTCTATGTTACTTAATTTATTGAATGAGTGTTAAATTAAAATGAGCCATAAAATCAGAACACTGATAATAATCTATGTTTAGAAGTAGTTGGTTTAAATTATTGAATGTGGATGCAGGGTGTTGCAAACCGTGGTGCTTCTATCAGAGTAGGGAGGGACACAGAGAAGGCAGGGAAGGGATACTTTGAGGATAGAAGGCCTGCATCTAATATGGACCCTTATGTCGTCACTTCCATGATTGCTGAGACAACCATTCTTTGGAAACCATGAAAGTAGCCTAAAAACAATCACACGTGCCTTCCATATATATATATATATATATATATATATATATATATATATATATATATATATATATATATATATATATATATATATATCTGTTGCTTCTATGTTTATGATGACAACTTTTGTTTTTGTTTTTTTTAATGTTTTCTTTGTACTCTGGTTGTTAGGTCTTCTTTGTTGTTGTTGGTGCAACTCACTACACTACCAGATGAAGAATCGTTGTTCCATTTGATTATTGTACGTTTTATGTGTTAGAATAATGTAACAGTCCTCAAGTAGTAATATCATATGTTATTTCTGTGGGTTTTTTCTTAATTGAGGCATCGCATGATTTTTTTTATTTTTATTTTTTATTGTTGTTAACAAGTTCTTCTTGATAGTACACTGCAAAATAACCAACTATTACTCTTCAGTGCTGAACAGTGTTTTTTTTTTTTTCTTTTATTGGTAGTACTCAACATTGTTATTGATGAAGGTGGGTTATTTCCTCTTTCACAAGTTTGACTTACATTTTTTTTTTTTTCAATTTTTATAATTACGCTTTCATTTTTCTTTTTAGAAATTACATTTTAGGTTATCTTCATGTTAGTAAGTCTCTACCGATCAAATTCTAGGTATAATGTATTACTGAGAATTTTTATCAATCTGTAACTAGGACCTACTTATGGCACGAAGGAAATCAGAGGCACAGGTCAGCTGCTATATACATTTAGGGAACACTAAATATGTTTTCTGCAGCATATATTTTGAAAACTGATGTGGGAAGAAATACATGAAGGTACCTAGTGGGAGACAATATATTTATTAGGAGAGTAAATAATTCTATCTGTGATGATGTAAATAACTAATTGAAAATTATTTTATCATAATAAATCAATTATTTATCTACTTAAAAAAATATTAAATATTTATTAGTTAAATATATTTCTTATTTAGTAAATGAGGTTGAGTAAGGATGATTAGTCATGTAATTTTAAAAAATATTTATTAAAAATTTACTTTAAAATAATTACTTTTTTTATAATTATAATATAATATTAATATTTGTAATATCTCAAATTTATTCTATAATATTTTTTTAAATATACTATATTAAATTATAGTACTTTTAGATAATATAAATATTTTTATTTTTTTAAATAATAAAATACTCATTTTATTAAATTTTAATTAGAAGAATAAAATGGGATGAGAGAAAAACAAGTAGGAAAAAAAAGAAAACAAACACTAGACCATAAAAAAAATATAACAAGAAATAAATAAAGAGAGAAAAATTTAAAAATAAATAAAAAAAGAGATAAAAATAATTACATTCTATGATACAAATTTATTTTTTATTATTGAATTGTTTGTATTAACAGTAAAACTGTTTAATTAAGTAAATAAACTTACACATATTTTCATTAAAAATATATTTAAAAAAATTACTTAAATAACATTTTTGTAACCTTATTTATTCAACTTCAAATTCAATAAATATAAATAATTTTCTCTTTCATAATACAATTAATTTCCTCACATTCCTTATTTATTATTCTATTTCTCTCTCTCTTTCCATTTGTTTTTTGTTTTTGTTTTTCCTCAATGCCCATGTTTGTTCTCTTTTTATTTCTTGTGTCATTTATCTTATTCTTTTAATTAAAAATATTAAATTAAAATTTAATAAAACAGATATTTTATTATTTCTAAAAAGATAAAAAATATTTAAATTATTTAAAAATATTATAATTTCATATATTATATTAAAATTATTATATTATAAATAAATATATATATATATATATATATATTTATTTTAAAGTAACTTTTTAATAAATATATATTTTAAATTATTTAATATTATTAATCATCATAATTCAACCTAATTATAATTAGATTAAATTAATAAATAAAAAATTATTTAACTCATAAATATTTAGTATTTTTTTAATTATGTGAACAATTTATTTATTAAGATAAAATAATTTAAAATAAATTATTTGTATCATCATAAATTAAATTATTTATTATCATAATAAATAAAATTATTTATTGTCATCACAATTTTAAATAATTAGTTGATAATTTTTTTAGTTTTAATATTAATTTTAAAAAATTTAAATCAACAAAGTTTTGTTAAATTTTAGTATAATACTTTTAATTAGAAGAGCAAATGGGAGATGAGAAAAAGAAAATAAGAGACTAGAGATATAAAAGAGATAAAAAATAAGTGAGAAATAAGTTAAAAATGACAAAATGGGTCGTTTGGTTTTGACCCTTTTATTTTTGACCCACTAAGAATAAGATAGGATGGATTGTTATAACCACGACAAACTGTAGATGTTGACTTATCCTATCAAAGGGAGGGTAGATTGGTGGACTAACAGATTAGTCCGTTATATTTTTTAATTATTTCATTTGTCTTTTTTAAATCAAATTTTTTAATAATTTTAATAATAATATTATTATTTATTTGTTAATAATTCAACATATATATTTTAAATTAATAATATAAATTGACACATTGTAATAAATTATAATTTAAAATAATCATAAGATTTATATAATAATAAACAATAATAAATACATGTAGGTAATGTTAAAATTTATAAAATCAATGTTCTATATGTTGAATAATTCAAACACCTAAAACAAAACTTGTATTATATTTTTTTATTTGATAAAATTTTACCTTGTTTTTTCTTTAAATAATTATCGTATCTTCAATTTAAATTATGAAGATATAAATAATCAACACTCAAGATAAATAAGGTAAGCAAGAAAGAGATGACAAGGAAGGAAAGAAGGAAAAAGAGAAGTTTGTACTTGAAAAATTAGAGTAGTTACCTTAGTGAGTATAAAGAAATTTTAAATTATTATTTTACAAATTTTCATATTATATATTATCTTTGTAACTTGCTGTATTACAATAAAAATATCTTTTTTATCATTAAACATATTGTGGGTTGACCCACCTATCTCATAGGTTGGCAAATTTGGTAAAATGTGTTAGAATGAACTAATGAACTAAAAATATCAATTTACGTCGTCATATTTATATTAGTCCGTTTTTTCGTCCTACAAGAAATGAACGTGGAGAGAACAAAAATTGAGAAAAAAATTACATAAAAATAGTAAAAAAAATAAATAAACTAACATATATTCTATTTGAATAATTTTCTTTTAAAATATATTATTTATTGATGGGTAGTAACATAGAAAAAAAAGTGAATGATAGTGAAAAAAAAATTATAAGAAAAGAAAAAAAACTGTATATAAATAATAAATAATATATTGGGTAAATAATTAATAGAGATTTGAGTATTTTTTTAAAATTTTTTATTGGAATGATTAAAAATTTGATAATTTTAGTTAAATAATCAACTAAAAAATTATATTAATTTAAATTATTATCTTAACAAATATCTATGATTTGTATTTACAGGTGTCATTATGAGATATTGCATATTAATATTATAATTTATGAATTTATATACAAAATATCGAGGAGGGGTATTTTATTTTTGTGGTGTCGACTATTTAGGAAAAGACTAATAATAAACAAATTTTATAAATAAAACACCAGTAAATTATATAAAAAGATATAATGTCTTTTTATCCCACAATCTTTTTTCACTTTTAAGTTATTTAATTTTTATTATTATTTAATATCACATTTCAATTAAAAACCATCTTAAATAAGATGGTGCAGTAGCATTAACTAATTTAAGTATTAGTTATTAGCATTTCCATTTACATGTAAATTATCAAATACATATTGCAATATTAAAATTGTTGAAAAAAATCATATAAATCAATTAATGATTATTTAAGTCATGGATTAACTTATCTTTTTAAGTATAGGACTCAATTGACTAATGACCAATAAAAAGTTAACGAGTAAATTTAGCTTTTTGTAACCCAAAATATCAAATTAATTATTCAATCACTTTTAGACAGTAGATTTGCTCTTTTTCCCAATATTTTCTAATTTTGTGATTTAAGGCTTATATATCATTTCATCCATGGCGTATTATTTTATATGCTTGTATTTCACAGAGATGTTGATTAATAAATAAGATTTAAAAAATAAACAACTAAAACATTCTCGGATATTTGTTCTTAAAATGTATGCAAGTTTAGAATAAATTAAACAAAGATTTGGCCCTCGTTTTTTTCATTTCTTCAAAAAAATGGCATGCGAATAACAAAAGTGTAATTTTATACTACGATATTCACTATTATTTCTCTCTTGTATGTAAGTGTATAAATTTGTTAAATAAACAATGACTATAAAATTAAAAAAATAATGTTTTATATACTTAGAAGTCGCATGCTATTCTTAACTCACTAAACAATTTTTTTAAGATAAAATTATCTAGCAATAAAAGTGTTCTCGATCCCTAAATAACATGAAATTCATCAACCTACAATAATAGATAATAATTAAAATAATTTTAAATATAAAATAAACGAATAAGTATAAATATACATTACATTTCCTTTTAAAAATAAATTAAAAAGAAAACATAATATCTACTTTTATATTTTTTATTTTTGGAGAAAAATTTTATTCACTTATTAATTTATTATTGTTAATTATTTAAATGGTATTAATTACTATATTTTTTTCAACAATAACTCATTACAAGGAGAAAACAAATATAATATATGAAGTATCAAAATAACAAATAGGAGAAATACAATACACTATAAAAATCATAAATAACTTTAACATAAACAAAAAGTTTAATTATTTTTCATTTTGTGTTGCGAAAATTTAAAGTCAATTGATTGGAAAATTTAGTATAATTTGAACACAAGTTATAAGACGCAAACTTGGACATAAATCATATATACTTTATAAAATATTTCATACTCCATCCTATCATCACCCATGATTTCAGTTGTTAGCGAACTTCAAAAGTGTAACTAGAATCACAACAAGAATAAGAAGCACCCCCTAATAGACAAAGTCAGAACAGCACATAAGATTTTTTCCTGGATAGAACAAACAGCCAATAAAACCCATTCTCGTAGTAGGGCCCACTGGTGGGCCCATCCACGCGTCCAAATTAAATGATCTTATTAATATCTGACAGCACCACGAGGACAATCTGTTCACGGCCCAGCCCACCACAGTGGAAGAAAGTCACATATACCTTTCTTGACACATGACGAAGTGCTCAACTACACCACAAGACAACACAGAATAACGCAATAAACAAACCTACTTACTACTTTTCCTATTGTGTTGCATTGTATTGCATTGCGTGGAACTTAATTTTCCCACGTATTCTCACATCACACTCATGGCCTCCAAGCTCTCCTTCCTAACCCTTCTTATGGAGAGAAGAAAACCTCCCAAAAACAACACCAACACCAATGACTTAACCTTTGTCAAGGCTGCTGCATGGGCATGGTACCAACACAACTCAGCCTCTAAGGGCAAAACTATAACCGAGTTTCATGCCACAGTAACTCGCCCTGAGCCAAAGCCTTCGCGTTACAAGTTAGAAGCCATGAGAGTGGCCAAGGAAGCACGTGAAGAGTCTCCAATTGTTCATGCAAAGAAACTGTCCCTTCTTGATGAATATGAAGTCCAAAGTATCTCAAGGCAACTTGATGATCTTGTGGAGGATTCAAATAACAAACCTTTGCACGGTGGTGCTGACAACTCTACAAACAGAAGGACGCAGAAGAAGAAGAAGAAGAAGAAGGTTAAGAAAGGGTTTTGGCTAAGGCATGGAGCTGTTTGTGGAAGGGAGGAAGATGCGGTTGCTCCTGGTGCTTTGAGGGTTTCTCATCGTGGGCAACCGGCAAAGCAAGGACCTGCGGTTAACGAGGTTAAGCGTTTGCCAATGGAAAATGGTGCACTCTGATCTTTTTCCAATGCTGGGTATTTATTTGGCATGTTTCTTCAACTTATACTTGTTTGTCGTCATATTGTAGAATTGTATTGATCATATTCAAATTATTGGTAGATCAAGTTTCGTTAAAGGAAGAAATAAGCTGTTGTTCTTTTAGTGAAATTTTTCTTGACTGAGTGTGATTGTAAGTACGGGAGCAATAACTTAACAGTGAATTCAAATATTTTTTTATCTGTACATGATCGAGCATGAACTGGACCAGTATGTATGAATGCGAAAAGTAACAACTCATATTTATTACGATGGTCTACACAGAACATCATATATATATCCTCACATGTATTGTGTCAGTTCACACTTGGATACTTCATCAAGTTTCTCCTTTTAATGCAAAGAGGCAACAGTATTGAGGTTTAGGGGTTATCTACTTTTGAAAGTGTGCTGAGATCAGATGTTAGCATTTGAGGATTAGGGGGCAAGGTACTTCATCCAATTTTGTCCTCTTAAAGCTTTTTATTGCATGAACACTTCGACTGAGAAATTGTATTCTTGTAAGTATGTTGTGTCGAGTTTCCATGCTTTGAAACTTTTCATAATAATGCTGGAGCTAAAGGTTGTATCTCATAGGTTTATTATAGTTGAGTACCCATATATGTCTTATCAATAGGTATAACACTGAATTAATTATAGTTTACATGTGTTAAAATATGTTTTAACGTCGGTTAAAGCTGAACCGACATTAAATACACTTTCAACATCGTTGAATGTGTTTTCACCCAACCCAAAAATTCTCTTAAGTTAAAGAATTGTCATCGATGAATTCGAACCTAGTATTTTAGAGTTGAAAGTCAATACTTCAACCACTAAACTACTGTAATTTTCTAATAATAATTTATAAATTAATTATATTTATATACAAATAAATATATATCCATGTAAATATATATTTATTTATATATATTTTGGAAAGTGTTTTTATTTTTTTCAACCAAAAATTTACTTAAGTTAGAGAATTGTCACTTGACAGGATTTGAACCTAGTATTTTAGAGTTGAAAGTTGATACTCCAACCACTAAACTACCGTAATTTTCCGATAATAACTTACAAATAAATTATATTTATATACAATTAAATATATATTCGTGTAAATATATATTTATTTATATATATTTTCTGGAAAGTGTTTTTATTTTTTTTAGTCAAAAATTCACTTAAGTTAGAGAATTGTCCCCGACAAGATTCAAATCCAGTATTTTAGAGTTGAAAATTGATACTCCAACCACTAAACTACTATAATTTTTTTATAATAATTTACAAATAAATTATATTTATATACAAATAAATATATATCCATGTAAATATATAAATATAGAATATATAAATACAAATATATTTATATATTTTAATATATATATATATATATATATATATATATTTATATAGTTATATATTTATATGTTGCGCGTTCGAGGGTGAAAGTGAGATTGACTCTCGCTTGAGTGAAAATACGTTAAAACTCACGGAAATTCACTCGCTCAAGCCTCGCTTGAGCGAAAATTAGTATTTTTCGTTTGAGCGAATGATGCATTTCCCAAATTTATTTTATATCATTATATAAATAAATTATAAATATTATATTCTCGTCATTAAATTACAAACTCATACAAAGAGACCAGCTCACAAATTTGGCATCAAATTTTGAAAACTCACTCGACACACACTTTCACCTTCGAGCGTGCCCTCACATCCAACATATAAATATATAATTATATAAATATATCAAAATATATAAATATATTTGTATTTATATATTTATATATTTATATATTTACACGGATATATATATATATATATATTTGTTTATAAATATAATTTATTTGTAAGTTACTATCAAAAAATTTGAGTAGTTTAGTGGTTGGAGTATCGACCTCCAATACTAAGGTACTGGGTTCGAGGGATTTCTAGATAAATAGAAAGGGGTTGGAAATAAATAAAAATTTTCGATTTGAAAGTCGGGACTTTCAACGTCTTGGGGATTTCTAGATAAATAGAAAGGGGTTGGAAATAAATAAAAATTTTCGATTTGAAAGTCGGGACTTTTAACGTCTCGAATCTCGTCGGTGACAAAAAATTAATTTGGTAATGCTCTAAACCTCAAAAAATATGATAAATAATAAAAATATAATATAAAAGATGGGAGACCTAATAAAAATATAATATAAAAGAGAGGGATTTCTAGATAAATAGAAAGGGGTTGGAAATAAATAAAAATTTTTGATTTGAAAGTCGGGACTTTCAACGTCGTTGAAGACCTTCCAGAACCGACGTGGAAAATCATATTGTAGTAGTGCTAATTTTAAGTCTTTCACTTATATTTATCTCTTCAATATCGTGTGGATGAGGACAGGAGAAAAGAAGAACCTTAACACATGACATTACTCTAAGATCTCACGAGCAATCACCGTAAGGTTTAGGAAGTTAGGGAGATGAGATATATACAACACAAATTTGAGTATTATGGACCAGAGTTGGAATTCACATTGAGGTGTCATACATAATGTTGCCACTGTCTTCAATTCAAGAAGATTCTTTTTGAAAGAAATACATGTTAGTAAAAAAAATTATATAAACAAAATAACAGGTTGAGTAGGCTAGATTACGAGTAAATTGAATGATAAGAGTGAGACGTGGACTATTTTATAAAAGAGTGGATTACTAACACTACTTGATATAATAAGATTATTTATTTTTTATTCGTTAAATAAATATTTTAGGTTAGTTTCAAAAATCTTATAATAGATGGGTATTCGATCAAATATTTAATCATGCCGAAATATTTGGATATTGCTAATATATTTTATCCAAGTATATTAATACTATAATGCTTAATTTTTATTTTTTTTGAACTAGTCACATACAAGAGGTAAAATAATTTTAATAAAAAATATTTCTACGTGAAAATATTGATTTCATATATTTATATAAAAATTTAAATATGGATAACATACATTTTCTCCCATTTAAAAATAGTCGATCACAAATGAAACTGAATTTAAAGTTTTAAATATGATTTCGAATTTGAATATATATAAATAATTTAGGGAAGTTAATTTCTATCTATCGAAGAAAATAATTTTCCTTAGTATCTAGACAGTTAGATATTACAGATTTTTAAAAAAAAATTGAAGATAAGATCATTAATAATGGAGATAGAAGGTCAAAACTATTAATAACAAAGACTACTGAGAATTAATATTAGATTTGTATTTTATGATAAAAATTAAAATTTACAAACACTTACTTCAAATTATCACGTATGAATCGGATTAATATTTTTATTTATTTTGTTTCAATCATTTATATTTGGATACTTTATCTCTTTTTTTCATTTTTTCTCTTCAACCGATTCATTATCAATTATTTATTTTATAATTTTTTTTATTTCTTTCTTTTACTTTTTTTTCACTCGTTTTCTTTAGTATTTTCTTATAATTGATTTTAGATAAATATATTTGACACAATTTTCTTTGTATATTATCTCTTTTGAATAGTATTTTTATTTCTAGATATATTTATAAACTGAAAATTTGACGAAATATTTATCATGGAAGATAAATGGCCGAAGTACTTATCATTTTCTTCAAAATACTTATAAAATGATTATTATTGATGACTATTAACGTAGGGATAATTAAAGGGTCAATTCAATTTTTTGAACATATATTCATTATCGTTTTTATAATCTTTTTAAAAAAATTACAGAGGTAAACATCAGTGAATTATTGCTTAATTCACAAAAATTTAACATACTTAATTATTCTTTTAGTTTTTATAATTGTGACTATTTTTATTTTATTTTCCTTAGTTCAAATAATATTCTATATTGCTCCTATAATGATCATTTTTACTTTTTAGTTTCCACCGATCATCGTTTGAGAACTTAAACAAATTGTCATGAGTTTTTTTTTTTTTACAATTATAAGAATTAAAATAAAATATTTTAAATATAGGAAGTACAAGAAAAAGTTATAGCAACCATTACTATCAAAAGAATAAGGGAAACATTCAATATAATTTTAACACCTATCCAACACTTTTATTTTAATTGAAAAAAGGGAAAAAAATAATAATAATATATATATATATATATATATATATATATATATATATATATATATATAGGTTGGAAGTTGAAGCAAACGAAGATGCAGAATAGGTCTGAAACGCAGTGAAAATAAGAGAGAGAGAGAGAGAGAGAGAGAGGAAACCATGGCCATGTACATGGCCATGAAGCTCAAACCTAAACCCTATCATGACTTTGAATTCCTTGGTTACTGTTTTCAACTTCACCATCTTCCATTTTCCTCGCTCTCACCCTTTCCCTACAAAGATCACGACCTCTTATGCGCAATCTCCGAAGCCATCCACGATTCCCAGACCAAACAACACCAGGATTACTCTCAGAACCCAAGACTTCGGCGCATCCTCCCTTCCCTTACGCCTCGCCACGTCACCAACCTCATCACCCTCAACCCCCTCTCTCTCTCCCCTTCCACCCTCCTCTCCTTCTTCAACTACCTCGCTTCGCGTCCCCCCTTTCGCCACACTCTCCATTCCTACTGCACCATGCTTCACTTCCTCTGCCTCCACCGAATGCTACCCCAAGCACACTCCCTTCTCTCCTTCCTTGTTTCCCGAAAAGGATCCAACTCCGCTTCTTCCCTTTTCTCTTCCATTGTCCGTACCATGTCTCCCCATCACCACTCCGTTGGCCTAGTCTTCGATGCTCTAATATGCGCTTACGTTGATTCCGGCTTTATATTCGATGCTGTTCAGTGTTTCAGGTTGGTTACGAAGAATAAGTTCCCCCTGCCGGTTCGCGGTTGCGAGAATCTGCTTCATCACGTGGTGCGGTTGAAGCCCTTTGAAGTCGAACGTTCCTGGGCTTTATATTTGGAAGTTTTGGATTCTGGATATCCGCCAAAAATTTATTTTTTTAACGTTTTGATGCATGGGTTTTGCAAAGTTGGTAATGTTGGGAATGCGCGGTTGGTGTTCGATGAAATTTCCAAGAGGGGTTTGTGGCCGACGGTTGTTAGTTTTAATACTTTGATCAGTGGGTTTTGTAAAACGGGGAATGTAGAGGAGGGTCTTTGGTTGAAGGGTGTTATGGAGAGTCAGGGGATATGTCCTGATGTTTTCACTTACAGCGCTTTGATCAATGGCTTGTGTAAGGCGGGTAGGTTGGATGAGGGAAGTCTTTTGTTCGATGAGATGTGCGGGAGGGGATTGGTTCCGAATGGTGTTACATTCACCACTTTGATTGATGGACAGTGCAAAGGTGGGAAGGTTGACTTGGCATTGAAGAATTTTCAAATGATGCTGGCTCAGGGTGTTAGACCTGACTTGGTTACTTATAATGCATTGCTCAATGGTCTCTGTAAGGTTGGAGATTTAAAGGAGGCTAGGCGGCTTGTGAATGAGATGAGTGGCAGTGGTTTGAAGCCTGACAAGATCACTTTCACTACACTGATTGATGGATGTTGCAAGGATGGAGAAATGGAATCTGCACTGGAGATTAAAAGGAGAATGGTTGAAGAGGGGATTGAACTTGATGATGTAACTTTCACGGCTCTTATCTCTGGGCTTTGTCGAGATGGGAGAGTTCATGATGCGGAGAGAATGTTGAGAGATATGTTGAGTGCTGGTTTCAAACCGGATGATCCAACGTATACCATGGTTATTGATTGCTTTTGTAAAACGGGTGATGTTAAAATGGGGTTCAAGTTGCTCAAGGAGATGCAAAGCAAAGGACATGTGCCAGGAGTTGTCACGTATAATGTGCTAATGAATGGGATGTGCAAGCAAGGTCAGATGAAAAATGCTAAAATGCTGTTAGATGCAATGCTTAATTTGGGGGTGGCTCCAAATGATATTACGTTTAACATTTTACTAGATGGTCATTGCAAGCATGAAAGCTCAGTTGATGTTGACACATTTCATTCTGAGAAAGGACTTGTTACAGATTATGAGACATATAAAGAGCTAATTAATGAATCAAGTAAAACCTCAAAAGATCGCCTAAAGAGATGATTGCTAGTAATATATTTTTAGTTAAAGTGTCATAGTTGTTGGACCTGGCTTACAGATTAAATATCATTTAAGTATATAAAAAATAACTTCACTATCATCACTAAGCACAGGGAAGACAGGATATGTTTTTCAATTTTAATTAGTATGATTCTTGATTTCATAGGCAGAAGGAGGCTCTTTTTTTTCTTGCTTCAGTTTTGTATAGGGGATAACATTAATGCCAATTGAAGTTCTTTTGTCTGCTTCAATGATTCATTGCAAATAAAGCAATTTGGCTGTATTGTTAATGCAAGAAGCTGAAGTTGCTTCTAACTGTTAAGGTGGCTAGGTAAAGGTGAGCTACCCAAGATGATTCTGTTGCATTTAAATGGCTTTGCAACTACCTTATATGGATGCCCAAGTTGATTCTTTAAGAAACACTTTTGCCGATGGATACGTAGAGCAAGCGATGTGTATGGATACTACTTAGATGGAGAAAATGCCCCTTAAACAGAGCATGTGGTATGTTTCTAAACTTGATCATTCTCAGAAGACTTGGTTGAAGTGCTGCTACTTTAGGTTATGTTTGGCTCGGTCTCTTCTGTTTGCTTTAAAACTTTAAAGATCATACTTTAATTTTAAGTAGAATCTTTTTTGACAATTTTCTTTACTTTGAAGTCAAAGTTATTCGATAAAAACATTAAAACTACTCATCTCATATAATGAAAAGTATATTTATAAAAAAATATTAAAGTTAATTTAATTTACAATAAAAATAACCATTTCAATCATTATCAAACTAATACAAATACTAAAATAAGTATATTTAAAATTTTTAATATTAAAAATATGTCCATCTATAAAAGTTATTTTAATGATGCTTTGAAAATTATTTATTAGGGCTTACTGTAATTAAAAAATATATTGATTACCAAAGATAAAAGGTTTAATAACTTATACATTGCTGTTCAATGATAATTAAAAAAAAAAAGAATATTTAGACAGGATTTAATAAAATCAAATTATATTGATGTGTTAAAAAATACTCGTCTGAGCTTAAAATCCATCCTGTCTGAGAGCTTTGTGTACTTCTCGCATTGCTTTCACACTGTTGTCTGCATGCATTCTGAGACATTGCTTCCAGAATTTGTTTTTGAGTTGCATTTTTTTTCCTGGGAGACCCTGAAACTGGCAATGAACAATGAAGATGAAATCGATAAGATCAAATATAATTAGCAGAACTTAACGACCCACGGTATAAAATTATTCAAAAAAAAAAAAAATTATCATCATGATATTGGTATGAGGTACTTATTAGAGGATTGACTTTTTATTGGAATTTTATCTCTTACCTATGTTGTTTTTTTTTTTCCTTCTATTCATCAAGCTTATTTTGAAATCTTGTTAAATAAATCTGAACCCAATACGAAAAAAAAGAGAGAATAATAGTAGAAAAAAGTACCAACATACTTCAGTGGAATTAATCTTTCAATAGTGTCCTCTCTAAAGACAATAATTGAAGACAATACCTCATCCAAAAGAACCTTACAAGGACCATTTTTAAAAAAAAACGATAATGGAAGACAATATGTGAAAAAAATTGAAAGCACCATAATGCATCTTATAATCAAATAATGTAATCAATGCAATGCTAATTTTAAAGTGTATTTATCATCTCAAATTGATAGTATAAATACTTACTATTAAAAATAATTATTTATTTTTAAGAGTCATAGTTTTAACCATGTGATATGGACATACTTGAGTATCTTTTTGTAAAGTGTTAAATTTAAGAGTCTTTATGGAAAAACTTTCTCCATCTTGATCCTGAAATTGACATCTGCGCCGTCTTGATCGTTTGATGTAATTTCAAAGTGAACGTGAACTGCATGATGTAATCTTCTCACTTTTCCTTTTCATTTTCGTTTCAGCTCTTCCCTGACCTCGTGTGTTTAAAACATTTTCGTATTTAAAATGATTTTTTTGTTACACACTGTTATGTGTGTTAAATAGCTAAAAAAGAATTTTAGTTAATAAAAACACATGTATTCAAATTTAAAAGCTTAAATAGAGTCTATAAAACTTTAGAATAGTGACTAAAATAGAGTCCCATCCAAACAAAAGAAATAAATAATAAATCTTTTCATATTATCCTCAAATCATTTATAGCCACTCATATGAATGTATGTATATATATTCCTGCCTTTTGATTCTGATGTCTTAGGTCAATTTTTTTGTTACACACCAATCTTCTTTTGATTGGATTGCTTATAAATGACGAAGATCATATAAAGCATTATATTATAAAGAATTAGTTATGCTGCAAGTCTTCCTCTTATCTTCAAGCACTTGATGTCTCTTCGAATTTCATTGTACTAATAATAACTATAACTAAAAAGGTAAATGATATATAAATTAAAAATGTTCAAAAATTAAAAAAAAAAGTGTTATAACTTAAAATAATGTTTAAAATACCACAAAATTAAATAATATTTTTTTTTAAATGAAGCAAACCATTAATGAGATTTGTTCTCAGTAAGATTATAAAGTATAAAATGGTAAATAATTAACTCAATTGAACTAAAGAAGTTAGTTGTCGTAATATGTTACACATATTTAATTCCCCGAAATATAAAAGGTATAGATTGAAAGAATAGTTGAAACTTTTTCTTTTTTAATATTAATTAGCTTTCGTTTGTAGTAAGATAAAGAAAGGATGCTACAAAATAACTATTTTGGTTTAATTTATGTCTGATAACTTTATGGAATTTAAGCAGAGCACACTAGAGAAGGGACACGAGTCAGTTGCGCAGCTGAAGTGTGTTACAGAATGATGTCACTATCATATCATGCATCACAAAATCACAAACCTGAAGAACTTCACCAGAGGTGGTGGCTCCTTTTAACTACCCTACAATAATACTATTCATTCTCCATTCTTTTGCATTTCCCACTTACCTCCCCACCTTTTACAATACGTAGCTTTATCAAATCAGTTTCCTGCCTATATTCTATTGACGAGAGAGAATAGTTAAAACAAAGAATTAGACCTACACTTGGTTTGAATGATATTATTTGTTCAACAATATGATAAGTATTCACCCTAATTATGCTTCAAAATTAGTATAGTTTATGTCAACACCGTGGATTGTGTAACATATAATCGATCTAAAAGGGGAAACTTTATCCCTTGGCTGGTAAGATTTATAGAAAAAATATACTTTGATTGAAGTGAACGAAAGTAGTTTAGAGAAAAGCCACGTAGGCGTTGGTTGAAAAGAAAAAGAGTTAAAAAAAGTACGTTGTAGTAGATTTTATCCTAAACTAAACGACACACGTTTTATATAATCATGTGATTGATGTGATTGTCGGGAATTATGTGGAAGCAGATCGTGTCTTGGGCGGTCTCAGAAGCTGAGCTGTCTCTCTGTGGGCCCCACTCTGTTTGCTGGTAAAATCTATCGGCATTTGCCACGACCACAATAACAGCAACCGTCGCTCTTCACTTTGTTCCCCTTCGCACTACACAAGCCTCAAACCAGATCCCTTGTACCGTTTTTGGCATATCTTTATTCTTCTTTCTAACCACTCTTCAGTCTTTTATTCATTAATTCATGACCAGCCAGGGGCAGGGCTTCGTGGTGCTGCTTTGTCAAGACGTCTATTCAATCACCTTTAACACCACTTCTCTCCACAACTAGCTACCCTGTGGTAACTGTCACTGATAAGGATCCCCTCACGAGGTGCATTTCTTGCACCATAAATAACACTATCATCTTAGAACTCCAATTTATATTTTCGTATAGGAAGCAGTGGTGACCCAACTTTGAACAATAATTGGAATACATATGAGACATGACTATTAGAAATTAAGTTGGAGATTATTAGAGCATTAATTTAAGAGCGAATATATAAATATAAATAAGAGGACAGGATCTTATTTCGTATGTGAGCTTATCTTAATTACAAGCAGAAAGTATAGGAAGAAGCATTATTGATGGATGTAGTGTAGTAGTTATCTATATACAATAGGAGTCCTCTTCAGATTAATAAACGTGCATGACTTATATGACTTTACAAATATGAGTGACGTTGTTTGGTTCCCTCCCCCGGATAAGTCCAAAACGTTGACGTTTACCCCTATCTCTTCCCTTCTTAGACCGCTCCAAATACCAACGTCACTTATCCATCTAATTTATACACTGTCCATGGTGTAACACTTACTTATGATAGCGACCTGCACCACCATGCATGATGCATCTTATTGTTTCCTCCTACGATCTGCTACAATCGGCCTCACCGAATCCTACTCTGTGATTAGCCAGATCGAACTCCACCCATAGATTCTGCTGATGGAAGTTTCCAATGATGTTGCTGGCCGCACCCAATCTCTCGGACCTCCCGATTCCCACGCACTGGACCCCACCGCCCACGTCAGCCAATACTCTCTCCTTCGGAACCACGATCTCCACGCCTTTCTCGAACTCGAACGCCACGTCCCCTATCAAATGTCCGATTGTCTCCCTCCCGGTACCGTCGAAACACATGTCCGCCACTCCGCCGTACACGTACCCCTTCTTAATCCTGGGACCCGCCACTCTAACTATCTCCTCCCGCACCCTATCGTAGGCCTCGTCGACCAGGAACGTGAATTCGGATCCGGAGTCTATCATGGTCTGACCCGACCCACCAGCGTTGGGGCGGAAAACTGAAGGATTAATGTTTAGCCTCTTGCCACCGATTCTAATTCCCTGCATGGGGACGGTGTAGGCCAACGGGTCCAAATTCGGCATACGTTGACTTTGACCAAAGGTCAACATGTTTACGTAACGGAAGCGTGCGGAGTTGGGGTTGTTGCCGAGGTAGAACGAGCCGGTTGGGAGGTTCCCCGGTTGGGTTCGTCGGGTGGGCACGCAGTACGAGAATTTGGTGATTTTGGCCTGCGAGGGGAAGGACAAGCGGCCGAGGTTCATTCCGAGGATGCCCCTGGCATCGCTGGATTCGGTGGCGCAGCCGAGGGTAAGTGGAGGGGTGGTTTGGGAAGGAGAGAAGGTTAGTTTTTCTCGGACGAGGTTGCCCTCGGCGTAGGTGCCATCGGCGTAGAAGTAAGAGTAGTGACAGAGGCGGTTCTGGTCGCAGGTTGTGGGGAGCGTAAAATCGGGAACGCGGGGTTTGCAGAGAGGGTGGGTGCAGGAGATGACGTAGAAGGAGGAGGACTGCGAAGGGTCAAACGAGGCCGTTGGTTTATGGCACTGAATCCACGAGAGTTGGCTTCCCGTGTCCAACACCATTTGTTGATGCTGCGGAGGGGTCCCTATGGGGAGGGTTACCACCAGAGCCATCGAGTACTTGAACGACGATTTTATGTTGTCGGAAGCAGAGGAAAGGGTTCTGAGTTTTGGATTCGTGTTGAGAGGCTTCTCTGTGGAGAGGGGAAGCGAGGTCAGAGGGAAAGAGAACGAGAAAGAATCATGGTTGGCGGAGGAGGAAGTGGAGAAGATGAAGAAGAAGAAGAAGGTAAAGAGAAGCACCGAGAGTGGAGAGAGTGAAACAGAGGAAGCCAGAGCCATTGAGGAAAACACGGGGTGTTCTGTTTTCTGCTTTGGAGAGTGCAAAGTTGGGGAGTGAAAGTGATGACACGGGGTTTTATTTATATAGTCAAAGTTAAAAAAGAAGAAGAAGAAAGATTAGATTTTTTTATTATTATTTATTATTTATAGCGTTGTTGTAATACCAGTCTTTTATTTCTATTTCACGACCTTCTTATTTCTTTTTTTTCTATGTACGTTGTGTCGGAAAGAAACAATTGGACGGCAAAAGTGGGAAGTGCAACCCGAAAGTGAGGACGCGTTTTCTTTGGTTGAGAGTGGGTGCATCTTATGATTCTTGAACAAAAACAGGGTGAGGCTTGTTTCACATCCTATATGTATACCCAATTAAATTTGGTCGAATCCATATTCCATTTCTCTTTCTCTAGCCATCACTTTTTGAATATGGACGAAGTGGTTGAGTTAATTTCAGATTTTTTTTCTTTTGTGTGATTAGTATTTGTCCTGTTCCTACCTCAATGCCTACGATCGTTCTTTCTTTTCTTTTCTTTTTTTATTACACTTGCTTATCAATGAACTTGTGACATGTGTATGCATGTAGTCTACGATTGGTAACAAAATGATAGATTACTTGTGTAATAATGGTGTAGTGTAGAAAGTCCGACTAAAATTCAAAAACCACGAGAAAAATAATGGAGGAGACAGCGATACCATCACATTACTTAACTAATACATTAACAACAGTCACTTTATTTCACTCTCTGGAAGATGCAATCTAATCATGGCATTCATTGTTTTATTCATTTATTAACATATATTATGAAAGTAATGGTGGGGTTATACTATATTCTTCTCTTAATTTGGTCTCCCAACTATTTGAAAATCCAAGTTCTAAATTTGACTCACCCAGTAAACTTATTACCATTGAGTTAGTCGTTGTCCAGATAAAAGTAACAGCTATATCTCACTCCATCGTAAGTAGATTAACAATGAGAAATTGGAAGGGCATTGATTTGGGGCAGTGAGATGTTGTAGTCAACCACAGCTGGACCAGCTCGCAAGTGGAAGTAGGCAGCACAGCATACTGCAGCCAAGACCACCAACCATTTGTGGCTTCTTATGTAGCCTATAGTAGTCTTCAAAACAAAATGAACACAACAGTTGAAACACTTTTTTTTTTTTTTTTTTTTTAATATTTCAAACACGACACCTCAACTAAATCTAACAAACTTTGCTTGTTTTCTACATCATTTTTAATTTGTGGATAATTAGATCACCCAAGCTGTTTGCAATTTATATATACCCGCAAAAGTATTAGTCATAACCACTTACCTCAAACATAAATATTAGAGATTTAATAATTTTCGACAATAATTCATGTTAATTATTATTAAAATTAAAAAATTACTCTTTAAATAAATTGTTCTTCTTCTATATTAAAACCCAAACTATTTCCCAGTAAAAAAAAAAAAATTAACAATGAATGAGATACTAGTTTAGTGTAATCCTAAAAAAAATAAAAATGTGTTTCATTCAATCTCATAAAATCAACATATAAAGTTATGCTTATAAGTTTATAATATCTCTTTACGACGTGGACTTCCAATAAAAATAGAGTAATTTTTTTATTATATTTAATAATCACGTAAATATTATTTATGTATTAATATATAAACAAATTGAACATTTGTCAGTGGACAAAGGAATATTTTTTAAATACGGTAAATGATTTCTTTGCATTAAGTTTATCTGACATTTCGTTGTTTTATATTTTTATTACTATAAAATATTAATATTATATTTTTAATCTCAATTTCAACGAATCAAAATTTTTAAATTTTAGAGCATTGTATAAAATAAATGGATATAAAAGATTTAATTTTAAAAATCATTAATTGAATTCAAATTCTTAAAAAATGCAAGCAACTGTATTAAAAATTATGAAAAAAAATACCATTTATATTCATTTTACCTAACTCGACTGATTAGAGATGTTCTAAAAAAAACATAAAGTAATTAAAGATTGTAGCTTTTATAAATAGATATGCATTTTTCTTTTAGTAGTCACGGCCAAACAAAGGGGAAAACTAGTTGATTAAAAATGAATTATAGATACCAAATTAATTTTTTAAGAAAAAGTCTAAATTACTCTTGTTCATAAATGACCATAATTGAGAGTTGTTGCCTACACATTCAGCCATGTTATTAGTTGAAAGAAACTCTTAATAATAAAGATACAATATAACTATAGACATGCATTGTGACGTTAGCAATTGAAATTAAGAAAAATTGAATGGATTTAAAATAATTTTATTTATTTCATTTAAGATTTTAAATTTAACTATTTCCGCTTATTTTGAGTTCTAAATATATGTTAATATTATCATTTTAGACATTGCATTTAAGCACATATTTTTGTGAATTTTTAGATTAATATGATTGACATAGTACACTTTCATAAACTTGTTATTTGTTTTAGTTTTGTTATATTAATATAATAATCACATATGATTAGAGCAGAGAAAAGAAATTAAAAAGGACACAAGATCAAGGTAAAGAACGTGATAAAGTAAAATCCTGTGATTGTTCACGGATTGAAAACGGTATAAAGTGAAAACTAATCACGAGATATGTAAACCAATTAATACATATTTATAGTACCATCTTTTTTGCTTATATACGTTGCATGGGATTCGATAGCGTGTATTATATTGTCTATAACAATATAATATATATTTCTTTTATTAAATAAATTCTCTTTTTATAATCGTTTTTTCGTATAATTGGAGAAAAGAAGAAAAATAGAGTTTATAAATAAAAATAATTAATATAAAAAATGTTATTATCATTTATATATTTAAAAATTGATATAAAAAAATATATAATACAATATAATAAGTGAAAGAAAAAAAAACATAAATACACTTACATAATAGAAAAATAAATAAATAAATTTATAAAAATATTTTAAAATAAGTTAATAATATTTTAAAGTTTTTTATTTCTCCCTTCCTTCCTTCCTCCCTCCCTCCCCAACCTCTCTCTCTATATATAAAATTCTTCTTATAACTATTTTTTAATATCATTGTTTAATATATTATTTATTTGAATCTTTTATATATATATATATATATATATATATATATATATATATATATATATATATATTAACTTATATTTACTCAACCTTTTTCTCAAATAAAAATGATAAAAAAATTATTATTTCTTTTTGTTTTTTTCCGAACATCCTTCTGACCTTTCTAGCTCTTTTTTAAAATTCTCCCTCACGTTTATTTATATCTAAATATTTTATTAAAAAATAAAAAAAAAATTAAACTATTCTCTCGCCTTTTAATAAAACACTATTCAGTTATATATTTTCTAATATTTCTTACTCTCAATGAAAATTCTTTTATATTTTTTATTATTTCTCACTCTCAAAAGAAAATTATTTTATATTAAAAAACGTAATAAAAAATAATGTGAAAATATGTTAGTTTAATTTAGAATATATCCAATTGTTCCAATTATTCATCGAAGTAGTTTAATTAAATATTTATAACTTTTAAATAAGGCACATCATATGTAACTGTTAAATAACTTATTATTCTAACATTCTTTTTTCTTTTGTTACAGACTAAAAATCTAAAACAAACTAGATAAATCTCCATTACCCCTAAGCCGAAGTTAGTGGTTAAAAGTGAATAAATTGTATTTAACATGTATTGGCTTCTCGTTAAAACATCTAGACATGTTTCCCAACAAACGTCTTTCATAACTTGATAATATTTGTAGAGAGAATCTCATGATAAGAGAGGAAAACTAATCAGAAAACAAAACTTAGAAAGAAAAATTGTACTAGCATAACAAAATTGATTCTATTAGAATAAAAATAAACCATGTTCCTTTTTTTAATCGAGTCAAATACAGTGAATAGATTCTAGATAACACTGTGGGTCTCGTTGTGGGCCCGGCTCATCACATCCTTATTATTTAGTTTCCTATTAAATATTAACTCTATGACTAATTATATTATTTCTAAGTGTGTAGTACTCATCACCATTTCTTCCATTATCATTTTTTATTACTATATTTTGTTTTTTTATCAATGATTGACTCTTACTTTGAAATGAATAAATTAATTAAAGAGACATAGGCATATCATAGAAAATAACTTATGGATGACATATACCATTTAGGTTAAATGTGAGACTTTGCAATATATAAATAAATATAGTGTCTCTACTTTGCAAACATTCTATCACCGATTGGAATAAACGAAAGAGAGCAAAATAAACTACCCACTAGAATAATTATTGTCTTATATTATGATGGTTAAGTAATTACTAGAAGATAGTAATGTTCAATCAACTGAGTTTTGGAAATGGGAACATCAGATTAAACCAGAAGAAAAGAAGAAGAAGATAGGCATGCCATTATTGAAGAGGAAATATAATATAACCATTTGATTTTGCTGATGTCAACGGCGTTGGACACGAGTGGACCAACATATAATGTGGGCCATGGGTTGGCTGTGAATTGTTATCCTAAGTCTAATAAATAAAAGAAGAAAAATGCAATGAAGAAAAGATAAAGAATATTTCTTCACTGTGTAATTGAATTGATTTTTATGTAGTTGTACATTGGAGTCCTACATGTTCTATTCCTTTCTTTCCGTAATAGTACAGTGAGAGTATTCAAATGTGCACCATTAACAGAAATTATTTCTCATGTGACAACAATTGAAATACGAAGGTAGCATCGGGGTGGAATTGAAATTCCTCAACTTATAAAAAATAAATAAAATATATAATAAGGTTGTGTCTCAAAATTTTAATAACTTAAGAGGTAAAATTATTATTATTTTAATATAAAATAAAATTTATACTTTATGTTTAATTAGTATATCTTTTAATTTTACTTTCTATTAAATGCATGATAATTAATCAAAATAATTAAGTATTACATTTTACTCTTATCATATAAGATGACAAATTTATTTAAATTAATCAATATAACTA